TTCAGCTCTTTAAGATCCCACATATAAGTGAGAACACCTGCTGTTTGTCTTTCTTTGTCTGACTTATTTCACTTAGCAGAATACCCTCAAAGTCCACCTATGTTGTCACAAAAGCCAGGATTTCCTTCTTTTTTATAGCTGAAAATCCCATTGTGTATAGATATATGGATAGGGATTACATTTTCCTTGTCCGTTCATCTGCTGATGAACACTTAGCTTGTTTTCATGTCTCGGGCTATTGTGAATAATGCTGCAATGAACATGAGGGTACAGATATCTCCTCGAGACACGGATTTCATTTCCTTCTGATATATACCCAGGTGGAATTGTCGGATCATGAGGCAGCTGTATTTTTAGTTTGTGGAGGAACCTCCGTATTATTTTCATTGGTGGCTGCACCAATTTACATTCCCACCAACAGCACACGAGGGGTCCTTTTTACCCACATCCTCACCAACATGTACATCATGTCTTTTGGATCATAGCTGTTCTAACAAGAATGAGGCGATATATCCGTGCAGTTTTGATTTGCATTTTTCTGATGATTAATGGTGTTGAACATCTTTTCATTGGCCTGCTGGCCATCTGTATGTCTTCTTGGGAGAGATGTCTATTCAAGTCCTCTGCCTGCTCTTCTTGAGTAAGTCTGAACTCCTGACCACGTCCTGCGCTACGTGGGCCTGTCTCCTCAGCTCACCTCGTGTCCTGTGCACCTCCATCTTTCCAAGCAAGCCCTCAGCTGCACCATGCTCATTCCCTCCTCAGAGCCTTCGTTCAGGTTGTTTCCTCTGCCTGGAATGTTCTTCCCCCTGGTGGGCTCCTTCTCATTTTTTTGTTCTCAGCTTAAATGTCACCTCCTCCCAAGATTTTTCACACCTATCCAGCACACATTCTTCTGCCCACACTCTGCCCATCCTACCCCTTTGTTTGTTTCCTTCATAAATGTCACCACAATTTCCAATCATTTATTTGTTGGCTTGCTGCTTTTGATTCCTCTCCCTCTAGACCAGTGTTTCCCAGCCTTTGGCTCTGTTAATATCTGGAGTTGGATCATTCCTTATGTGGGCCGTCCCAATCATCATAGGATGATTAGCAGCATCCCTGACCTTTTACATATGAGATGTCAACAGCATACCCATAGTTGTGACAACATAGAATGTCTCCAGAAATTGCCAAATATCCCCTAGTTGAGACCCACTACGGTAAACCGTAGGCCTCCCCCGTCTGTCTTGTTCAAGTGGCACCCCCAAGGTCTAGCACACAGGAGGCACTTAGTCATTTGTTGAATGAATGGATAAAGCTTTAGTCTACTTCCCTCCTCCTCATGTATGTCTGTAAACTCATCTCTCACCAGCTTGTAGCTTCCCACATCCCTATTTCTCACCACCATATACACATTTTCCCCTCCAGACCCCTATATATGCATTCCCTTGGCCCCTCCCCAATTGCATACCTTCTTGCCTCTTGCCTCCAGGCCTTTGCACTTTATGGTTGGTTCTCTTTGTCCAAGAATGAACTTTGCCCTTTGCCTGGCTATTAGTGGCCTAAAAGGTTCACCTTTTCCTGGGCATTCTGTGACTCACACCCCAAAGACAGACCAAGTTAGACACCCCTCTGTGTTCCCAGCACCATTTCCTATCAATATCAGAGCACATGTCATACCTCCTCACCATCAATCCTTTGTCTTCCCGACATATACTAGAGCAATGTGAGAACCATGATTTAGCTTTATTCCTCTTTCTATCCCTAACATCTGGCCCCAAACCTACCACACAACCAGTGTTCAATATGTGTGTAGCAAGAATGGACAAGTAAATGAATGAGTGAGTAATGAACAAGCAATGTAACTAACAATATCCTTCCAGATGAATGTTGCCCTTCAAAGTTGTCACCTTTAGAGACTGGGCATTTATTCAAATGATACTGCCATTTCTCAAAATACTTTTGACCTTTTCTTGAAGAGAGGATCTCAGAGCTAACTTTCTGAGTCAAGGAAGAAATTAGATCCTATTGCTTTTTATTCACAGCTCATTTTAGCTCCTGAAAATGATATCACCCTCCGTGATCATCTAATCTTTTTAACCAAGCTTGATCCTTAAATATTTGACTATTTCTGTAGAAAGAATAAAATCAAATCTTCTCTGGAAAAAAAAAAAATGACCTATGACAAATGAACAAAAATGTTCCCTCCCAAAGGAGTATCCTGGGAGGCTGGTCTAAAAGCAGAATCCAAAAGTACTCTGAGAAGTAACAGCAGTGAATGAGTACATGGCCCACCAAGGGGGCTGCTCCCAAAGCACATCTTTCATAAGGATGGGCCAATTATTGGCTGTTTGCTAAACTCAATCTCATCAGCAAAATTATTAAACATACCAAGAATACACAACTGTATAGTAACTGACCAGACCCAGTGGAACTGGTACTTGGCAGAGCTGAATTAATTAGATGGGTTGAGGATGGGGGATACAGAGAGGAAGCGGATATACAATGACTGCATGGCCAGGACGGGGGTGCCTGGAGGTGCCACTGTGCTCCCAGGAGTGGGCCTCTGCTGTCATCATGACACAGACTCAGGGTAAGTGTCGCCTTGTCACCACACCTACCACGGGGTGCCATCACCCCAAGCCTGGGGAGACAAAGCCACTGTGCTCCCCATAAGCCCAAGCCCACAAGGCTCAGAGTCCCCCTCTCCTATCCACTGCCATCTCCAGGAAGCATACCTTAAAATCCATCATGATGTCTTGAAGCTGGAACCTCCTGTCCAGGTCCAACTGCAGAGAGACAGGGTTCACATCTGGAAGGACAAAAAGTAGAAACTTTAGAACAGAGAAATTCTATCTTCCCAGCCCTGAAGAAGGCTCTGGACTCTACTAGCTCTGGGAAGTCAGAAACATTAAGCTCCATCCTCTGATTTCCCTCTTGGAGACGAATGGTACCAACATGCTTCTCCCTATATTTCCTACTCAAGAGCCCATCTGTCGTTAGCCAAATTTCCTTCCCATCATCTCTTGATGATCCTAACACACTAAAGGATTTCAATGTGTCTGTTCTACAAGCTCAATTCCTTCAACGAGCTCGCTGTAACTAAGTGTGATGAAATAAAGGCATTCTTCACATTTCTTACCCTTTCCTTAACTTCCAGCAAATTCTTCTACCTACAGCATCTGAGAGACCTCAAACATAGAGGCAGAACGTCTGTCAACCACACATGTCCCACCACCATAAGAAATGCCTGGGACACCCAAAAGGGCTCCCGGGCACCCCCCAACCAACCCCCACCCTGTGGGACCTCCCACAAGTTTAGGCCCCTGCAGGGGGCCAGAGCTTACCATTCTGTGACTGCCACCAACGCATGGGGCCCGAGGACGAAACCACATTCTCCACTCGGTGACTATTGTAATTGTGAGGCAACCTAGAATCACACTTGCAGCATTTCATCTGCCACTGTGGGACAAGACAACAGAACCTCATGGGTGGGGTCCAAAGAGGATTCCCCCTGCATCCTGAGAGCCTAGAAGATTCCCTCCATGAAAATCCTACCCCCAAGGATCCACTGGTTTCAGTAATACCCTTGGAAGGATTAGTCTCTTAAAACAAGGCTATTGGTCATCTTTGAATGTAATTCTTTTGTGTTCCTCCTAACATATAGATAAGTGAACAGTGAGGAGGCATTATTGCCAGGAAAGAGGTGTGAGGTGGCAGAAAAACGTTGGTACAGAACATTGCCTCAAAGAGAAATTTGAGGGGTGTCTGGGTGGCTCAGTCGGTTAAGCGTCTGACTCTTGGTTTCGGCTCAGTTCGTGACCACGGGGTTGTGAGATCAAGCCCCACATCGGGCTCCACACTCAGCAGAGTCTGCTTGGGAGTCTCTCTCTCCCTCCCCCTTGCCCCTCCCCGTGCCTGCTCGCACCCTCCAAATAAATAAATAACTAAATATCTTTAAAAAAGAGAGAGAAACCTGAAAAGAGTATCAAGAACAAAAAGAAGAAAAGATGAGGAACTCACTTTAATTTAGCCTCTCCTATGTGCTAGGTACAGGTTAGAGAGTTTTATATCTCATCTCACCTAATGCTGGCAGCTCCAGGGAAAACTGAGTTTCTGAGCATCAAGGAGAGGGGGCACAGAAAAAAAGGACAAGGGAATTTGGGGTTCTGGTCCTAGCTCTGTGTTACCCCATTTTCTAGGCTCAGTTTTCTCCTCTGTAGATTGAGTGGAGGCTGAAATAGAATTCATTCCACACATTCAACAAGTATTTATTGAGTGTGCACTATGTGCTAGACCCTGCTCTGGGCTCTGGAGTTATAACAGTGAACAAAATAAAGACCCTGCCCTTAGGGAGCCAACATTACAGTAACATTTGGATGATCTCAAAGGCCTTCCAGCACCGATGTCTGGGACTTAAGGATGCTTCCCAGGTTTGGCATTTCCTACCCACAGGAAAGAATCTGAGGGTCCCCAACCAAATGAAGCTTTGTGGTTAGGTGGTCCCAACGCCAGGAATGCATAGGACAGAGGAAATCTGCCGCCCTGGGGCTGAGAACAAGAGTCCCCGCACGAAGATCGAGGTCAGAGTGGGCGGCCAAAAAGGAAACAACTTCACTGGGGAGCTCCCCGCAAAACCACACCTTCCCTGGCCTGCCCATGCCCTGGAGTGAGACAAGAGACAGAACTGAACCCCAGGGGCTCCACAGCAGGCAGAGATCACCAAGCAAAAGAACAGGGCCAGAGTACATGGCCCTTGTTCTATTAGTTTATATGTGTGCGCGCACACACATACCCCGCAGAGACAGCATGACCTTGCTTCAGCTCCCGCATGCAACACAAATAAATTCTGTTTTCTCTAAGTTACCATGGTACCAGATCTTGTGCGTAGCGTAAAGAACACTGTTCAGAGGGCTCCATATTCACCCACAAGTAGAAGCTTGGACAAGAACCTCACTGGCCTGCTGTTCCTTCTGGGTGGGGACAACTGTATCTCCAAATACCGCATGCCTCTGCCTTCCCCTACGGCCTCCACTCACCAGAACCAGGGAAAAGCTTTCGCTTCTCCAAGGCCTTCTAGCTCCTGAACCTCCGCCCTGTCCAGGGAAGGTGATAAGCCAATAAGACTGACGTCTTAGAACAGGCAGTGTCTGCGGAACTGATTAACCTGACAGGTCAGGCCCGAGGGGATTGAGTTAATATGCTGAGCCTGTGCCTGGGGTTATGGAAATTCCTTGCCCAACACCCATCTTCCCTCTCCACTGCTGACAAAGCTTGGGGCAGTGCGGAAGCTGAAGGGGAGCCTCGGCTTCCCACCCCACTTTCCAGCTCTCACCTCCAAAATAAGAGAATTGTCATCCTTCCTAGTGCTTGGAGGTTTCCTCATCGGGTCCAAAAGTGCTTTATTAAACAATAATTGTTTGATATTTAATGTTCAAATAATGGCTAGCACATGTGCCCCGTACAGAGCACTCATTGCCTCCCTCCCCTTTAGTGCCCCTCCCTCCGTGCTCACTGCCCCTCCCTCCCCACTCACTGCCCC